CTCTTAGTAGGCTAATCTTTTGCTGAGACCTTCTGCTTTTATGGTGTACTATCACTGCAACTGGCCTTCTTACTTGCTCTTCCATTTGATTATTTATTTTTTTACACCTATCTAATATGTTGTATTTTCTGCACCTTCATTTCCTGGCTGTTGGGATTCCTCTCTGGCTTCCGTTCCTGGTTTCAGAACCCTGCATTGCACCGCTTCTTTCATCCGGCTCTGGTACTGTTTTGGTTCCTCATTCGTGGCGCCTTGGAAAGGATGTGGGTCCCTATGTGGGGGAAGCTCATGAAAGAGGACCACGTGTAAGAAGCAGTTGTTTGACAGCTAGCAGATTTGACCAATTTCTGTTGAATCAGAGTTAAGGAAGGATAGACCACCACATTCAAAGGTAGATTCTTCCACTGTCCCATCTACAAACAGCTGTATTGCAGAAGACTCTATAACCAGTAGGAAACACATATTCTATTGCTTTTTTAAAAATCCTTTGGGAGGCAGATGGGGGGCTGCTTTGGCTTAATTACCCCCCCCCCCCCGTTTCTCTTGTGGTTTTAGGAAACACGTTGCTTGCATTGTTTGACTATGCTGGGCTGGCTACTCTACCCAACAATTGTTAAATGCTCAGCAAGATTTCTGTTCTCACCCTGAAGCAAAGTTCTTAACCCGAGGTACTATTTCTGGGTTAGCAGAGTCTGTAACCTGAAGCATATGTAACCTGAAGCGTATGTAACCCGAGGTACCACTGTATCACAATTTTTCCTACTAGACACATATTTAAAGTAGTTCCCCCCCAACACTGCACATTTATGTATGTTATTTCAACTAATACATACATTTATATGCACACTTTACCCTAACCTGAGGTACTACCTTAGCTAATGGGGCCTCCCGCTGCTGCCGCTCCGCCGGAGCACGGTTTCTGTTCTCATCCTGAAGCAAAGGTACTATTTCTGGGTTAGCGGAGTCTGTAACCCGAGGTACCACTGTATTTATTTTTTAACGGGAGGTTGGTGCAACTTAGAGCTGTGTGAGCTTCTGGCATACATGTTACTCTCATGCGTGAAAGCAAGCAAGAAATGAGCACCTTCCTTCCTCCTGGAGGGGCTGTAACAGAGGCCCGTGCAGAGTTCCTGCTTTGCAAACACATGTGATCTTGTTTTCTTACAACACTCTGCTCTGTCCCTGGCATGTTATGTGAGGGTGGTGTGGCAGAGGAATACCTCCCTCTGCCTGAAACCTTAGGAAGCTGCTGCCGGTCAGAGTTGGCAATGCCAAGCTGCTTGGACCAATGTTCTTTGACTCAATGCAAGACAACATCATGCACCTGTGTATTTAGCGGGGAAACTCTGTTTCTGAGTGGACTTCTAACCGTAGGAAGATGTCTGTTTTGCTAATTTGAGGGAGGGAGGTGGAGTCAAGTCACTGACACATTACACACGAACACACTCCTTTCCTTGAGGCATTTTCTGCTACTGGTTTGTTCTGTGCTGATAACCCCTATTTTTCACTCAGAACCCTGCTAGTGTGTTCTGATAGTGCCACTGTCTTCTCTTCTTCCCAAGCAGCCTGATGATTTTAAAAAACTACTTACGTGTCTTGAAAGTGACAAATTTGTGTCCTGTGCAGGCCTAGAAAGAGAGATACACAAATAAGTTACTATGTCTCTCTCTCTCTCTCTCTCATCTTAAATGGCTTGTTTGTACAGTGACTTGGTCTCGCTTTATCTGTTCATAGTGGGAACTTCTAAAATTTAGGAACGAAGGAGCCACTCATTACCAGCAAAGTTTTGTAACTAAAACCTCCCCTGCTACCCCAGTAAGGTTCTATAAACTTTTTAAAAGTTTCTGCGTTAGGTGACATAATAGAAGTTTGTTTTCAAAATGCACAGCATAGAGAACCGGGATTATTTATAAAATATAGTTTTATTATTTATCAAAGTTCAGAGACACAAAGAGCACCTTTTAAGGCTGCATTCCTTTGCACATTTACCTGGGGATAAGTCCAATTGAGCTTTGACTTTCTGACAGAGCTGTTCGACAGTGGAACAGACTTCCATGAGAGGTAGCGGACTCTCCTTCCTTGGAGGTTTTAAAGCATCTGTCATGTACGATCTAGTTGAGATTCCTGCATTGCAGGGGGTTGATCTAGATGACCCTTGGGGGGCCCTTCCAACTCTACAGTTCTGTGATTCTATGAATGTCACCTTGTAAAATAAATGGAGTAGTGCAGCCATCCCAACCATATGTGTTGGGAACGCGCTTCCCACCAGCTCCAGCCAGCATGAGTGTATGATCCTCTGGCTGCTGGGAGTCCCAACGCATCTGGAGGGCACCAGGTTGGAGAAGGCTAGTTGAAACAAAGCAAAAACCTTTGGGCTGCTTGCCGTTCCCATGGGGGGGGGCGAGGCTTAAGCAGCTGCTGAGGATGCCTCCTCTTGGCATCCTTCCTCTCTGCTGTTTTTACGCATGCCACAGTTAGCCAGTTAAAAGTGTGCCAAAGTGGCAAGGGTGCCAGTGGTAAAGGTGCGTTGCCAACTTAGCCCGTCTGAGTTCAAAGTGTCAGGTGCCCTGCTGGATCTTGCAGTGCCATCTTCAAATGTTGAGTCAGCAGATCTGGCTTCCTGCATCTGTGGTCTTGTAGGGAGTTTGAGATCAGCTCCTGCTGAACATATGTATCTGTTTACTTGTTGCTGCATATATGAGCCTCGGAAGCTTCTGTCTGGCTGCGCTTCATTTCTATACTTAGATGTGCAGGTGTTCTGACCAGCCTGGGAGGGATGCTACATTAAGAGTGGGAGCACATAATTCAAATCTTTGTTTACTCGGGTGAGGGAAACATGCACTCTGTATATGCTTCAGGGTCCTCTTGGCACTGACGCATCACTCAGTAAGTGTTTCAAAGTAACGTGTGTTGCCGTGCTTGCAGTCCTCACCAACAGCCCTGTAAAGTAGGGACAGTATTGGCATCGCCCAGTTTGCAGATAGGAGCACTGAGGCTAAGCCGAGAGAGACTGACTTGCTTAAAGCACCTGTCCCCCGTGAGTTCTTGGGAAAGGTTCCAGGGCTATACCTTGGTGCGCCTTAAGCCCTGGAGGTTTTTTTAAAAACAGGGCAGTATTCTGCAAGGAGGAGGTTGCACAGATGTTGCCCGAAACTTTCAGGCAGGAGTGCCACTGGACGGGATTGCAGTGCACGTTTTAAAACCGCACTGCTCTAGCCTCAAGGGGGAATGTTCTTTCTCACACTCCTGTGCGCTTGCATTCTCATAGTGTGCAAACATTTTAATAGAAGTGTGATGCAAAGATAGCCAGCGTCCTCTAGATAAGGCAGTGACTGACTCTCTGCAAGGGGATGCTGGGTGCCCCCACCCTGCCGAAGGAGGCAACAGCAGCTTTGCAGGCAAATACAATATGGGGGTGGAGAGGGGATTATGCAAAGGAACTTCCGGCCTCTTCTCGGGTTGCTGCCTCTTCCTTGCTGCAGGGCCAATCGGTGGCGCTGGAGGTGGCACCTACTGAAATGGGCGAAGGAGCTCTTAGGTGTGAATGATGCAACTGTCCTCCTCTCTTGCTTGTCCTAGCTTTGAATCATCTGCAAGGAAGTTGAATCATTCATTCATTCACTAGGGGGGGAAACCCCAACTAGGACTTCCTGGATAGCAAGCATTTTGAGTATGGCTCGAGTTTCCCCTACTCACCATGTGTTACTGCATCAAAAAGATGCAGTAACCTTACTTGACGGGGAAACTCCCCAGCTAGGAAGGAGGTAGCATCCTCCCCTGTGTTTCAGAATCTGCAGCTGTGAGCTTTGAGTGATACTGCTGTTTCTGCCTTAGGATGTGAACATCTGCTTGTGGGGAAATGTTAGTTTTTTTGTACCCGGAACTGTGCTAGGCACTGCTGCTCATAGACCATCCACGTGGCCCTGTCCTTGCAGAGAGCATTTTCAAGTCTGCATTAGAGGCCAGGGTGTGATAGGAGGGAGACTGGGGGGGAGATGGGCCAGGGAAGAGCTGGGTGGCAGCAAAGAGATGCAGGTATAATTTGGAGAAAAGTTCTCAATCTTCTTTCTCACGTTTATATGCTGCAGGATGAGCCCTGAAGGGTCCCCAAAGTGGCTCTCAGTTGCCTTGTGTGTCCTTGTTGCTTTTAAAACAGTTACCAGCTTGACTACAGTGCAAAACAATGAAACCAAAAATAAGGTGGGGAGAGTGCTCTGGTCCTGCTTGTGAGCATCTCCGAGGCACCTGGTGAAAACAGGATGCAGGGCTAGATGGGATGCTGATCTAGCAGCCAGGCTCTTCTTGCATCCTCTGTCAGAATATTCTGAAACGGAACCAGTGCAATGTCTGCTGCTTCCCTAGAGTCTTCCTCTAGAGCTCCCCAGCTGGAGAAGAGGCTGAGCTCTCTAGGCTTTCCCTTTGAGAGGGAAAAAGAGCAAACCTCTGGTTGCCTCCAGCCTTCAGGTGGAAAAGCTCACCCTCTCTCACCAGACTGCACTCTAGAGGAATGTAGAATTGGAAGGAGCGTGCCTGTGTGTTTGTGTGCAGGTGCCGGCAGCATGGATGCATTTATAGTGGAGACAGTTTCAGAGGAAGCCGTCTGCCAAGTGGAGTCCTAGCAACCACAAGCTTCCAAAAAGTTTGGCCGCAGAAGTGCATCTGTGCATTGGTGAGAGTAGTGCAGCTCTCATTTATTTTGTATGCATATGTTTTCCCCCCTGGTGTGGGCAAGGGGATATTCATTGGCCTGGATTCATTTGCACAGATCCTACACTGTGCTTTGCAGGTACAACTCCAGCAGATGATTGGGGGGGGGGTGTGGAGTTGTGCTGAATGTGGCATTCCTTAAAGGGCCAAACTTTGCAAGAAAACAGCTGTGCCTTGCCCTCAATCTTTAGTGTGGTGTATTTCTTTTCCTGTTTGTAGAAAAAAAAGAGGGTGGCTTGCGAAGGTCCTACTCCCAACAGTGAACTAACCCACTTTGATCTGTTCCTTTCCAGTGCTGCTCACAGCCGTCAACTGCTACAGTGTGAAGGCCGCCACCCGCGTCCAAGATGGCTTTGCGGCTGCCAAGCTCTTGGCTCTCGCCTTGATCATCATCCTGGGCTTCGTTCAGCTGGGAAAAAGTGAGTGTGTATGTGTGTTTTGCTTCTTCAAAAAACAGGATGGAAGTGGAGGAGAAGGTGGTACAGGGGTAGGGGTGGCAGGTTGTTAGGGAGGACTTCCCCCAAATTCTGGCTCTAGCAGCAGAGGCAGAATAGCTTTAAATATTGTACCTGATTTCGCTGTCCGCAGCTCCAAAAGCTCCAGGAAAGGGAGGCAGATTTAGGGGAGTGCAGCCACTTTAGTTGCACTTGGCATGGACAAGAGGTGGGGGCACCAGATTTTGGTGTCACGTACGGCACTGCTGAAATTTGGGACCCCAAGGCCTGCCACTGCAGGCAGCCCCCCTGTTTCTTCTATTTGAGACTAGACTTGATCTCTCTCATTATGGTCCAGGGAAAACAAAACTGCATTTTCTCAGGTAACTGCAAAAATAGGAGAAACGTTCCAGAAAACGCCTTGTAACGGCGCATCTTTCACTTGGGCAATGTGGTAGTTCTGAGATCTGACCGGATGCTCAGGACAAGCTGTCAGAAAGACGAAATTCAGCAGCTACAGCTATTCCTAGCCTTCATGGATATGAAATGCTAGTGAAAGCTTCATTTGCACAGAAACATCCATGGCACATTTGGTTTCTCTGTTTTTCATTTTTCTAATCTTAAAATTCAGTTCCCTGTATTGTCACCTTCATTTGTGGATTTCATCTCTCCCCGCCCCCCCGGTTTAACCACTCAGGAAAGTTAGCATTTTTAGTGCGAATTTCTCCAAATAGAGACAATTTTTGTATACAGTTTTGACTAATATACAGATTTTGGAAGCAATTTCCTCTAATGTCAGGCATTCTTGTCTGTTACACTCACAAAGTGCATGCATTTTCACTAACATTTCCCCACGGCACACACATTTTTGTACACATTTTATGGTTGCCGGACTGCACTGCAAAAAAATTCAGAGTACAAATGTCTAAGTGTGGTGCGTTCTGGTTTGCGTAGTGGTTCAAGGTGTGCAAATTAGGTATTAGCTCATTAAAATGCAAACGGCATCAAATGTCTCCCGCATCCCTAAGAATGAGCGACCCTTGACAGCCTTTATCTTCCTTCCTCCCTCATTTGCTGTGCTCTCTGCCCCACATCAGCCTTTTATGAAACGAGAGTTGCTTGGGAAGAGACAAGTTTTCCCCTTGACCCTGTCTGACCTTCCCTGGCTCAGATCTTGTCCTCTGCCCTTCCTGCCTGTATCGCTGTTGTTTTTAGCATGGCAGGACGTGGTGGGCACCTGAGCCAACCCCTCATTCAACAGGGGTCCAGGCAGGCTGGTCACATGGCTTGTGGCAGCCTGTTTCTGCTTTCGCTGCTTGTCTAGGAGAGGAGATCAAATGCCAGGATGGTGTTTCCCTTCTGTGTGTTTTCGCCAGCCGGCAGGGCTTGCTTGGTGCAAAATAGCACACACATGCACACCCCTTCCACTCCCACTTGCTGGATATTTGACTCCCAGAAGAGAGATGCAGGCAGAGGAATGACGTCTGTGGGCTGTCAGTACAGGATAGTCTTCATGACTAAACTGCGCCCCCTCCTGTCCTTCTGGGGAAATCTAGAAAGCAAGCAGGGGCTGTTGCCCCACACCCCCATCCAAAGAGTTACATATAGAGGATCGATTGCCACAGGATGCCAGAAGTCAGGAAATAGGTGCTTGTAATTTTAACAACACTTGCTTTGCATGCACATGTTCAGTGCTGGTGTCTGTCTTCAGGTAGGGCAGGGAAACTCCTCCTGCCCAAATCCTCTGTCAATCAATGTAGAGTTTATGCTGGGCTAGCTGAACTGGTGGTCTGACTCAATATAAGGCAGCTTTATGTGTTGGCAGCATAGGAGTAACGTAGGTTTCCAGGAATTCAGGCATACAGTTTGTGCCTGGGGTTATCTCAAGGGCTTGCTTTCTTCTGTACAAACCCAGAAGCCTGTCAGTAGCCATCAGCAGAGGTCTTGCTCCACATCTTGCCACCTTTCAGCTTTTCCCTACCGACGCCTAGATGAGTCCCGGGCCCTTGTATGACCTCCATGGTGCATGTGTTTATGTTTCCTGTCAAAAACGAACATTGGAAGAGCCCTGCTGGATCAGATGAGAGGTCCATGCAGTCCAGCATCCTGATCTCACAGTGAACAACCAGATTACCCATGGGGAATCCACTAGTGGGACCCAGAGTGCAGCTTAAGATTTCCAGTAACTAGTGTTCAGAGGCTCTCTTTCTCTGACAGTGGAGGCCCTGGGGCAGCAGCCATCAGGGCTAGCGCATAGCCTCACCTCCCATGAATTTGTCTTCTTAAAGCTACCCAAGTTGGTAGCCATTGCTACATCTTGTGGGAGCAAATGCCATAGGTGACCTATGTCTGAAGAAGTCCTGAATTTTGTGTCTCCTGGATCTTCCTGCTTCCGGCTTAATTGGATGACTCTCTCTCTCTCTCTCTCTCTCTCTCTCTCTCTCTCTCCCATCCCCAGTTAGTAGGCACTGGTAGCCATAAACATGACTGTTCTGTTTTTATTTTGTTAGAGACTGGAAGGTCTAAATGGATTTTTGTTTTAGTTACAGCCCTGGTCTTCAAGTGTTTTGGGGTGTCTGTGTGTTTACAGATGGAGATTTGTTTTGCTGCTCTCTCTGTCTTGCACACTCTTGTTTATTTTCGTTCCATTTTTGTGTGTGCTTCACTTCGCAAGCTGCTTTCAAGCATCTTGCAGCTTACAAGCGGTCTAGAAATGCAAACAAATAAATGGAGCTTAATGAAGCAGTTCTGTCCAATGAAGACGCAAAGGGTTAAAAAAAGAGCCTGTCTCTTAAGTTGAAAGATTTTCTTCCTTCCTTTCTTAACATCTCAGCATTTTAAAAGAATAAAGCTAACTTTGTTAATTGTGTTTGTTTCCTTCTAAATGGCAGAGCCTCGTGACACAAACTCTCGAAATGTCTTGCCAACCCGGACCTGGTTGGTGTCAGCACAGATCTCTCTGCTCAGCATTTTTCAGTATTTTTTGATAAACGGATAAGAAGCGGATGGGAACTTTTGAGGGAGGAATTCCTCCCTCTGTAAAACAAAACAGAAGGTTGTTGGGGGGGGGAAGGGAGCCCCTCTATTCTGGAGCAATATAAGGGACACATGTTTAACAACAAAGGTTTCAGAAGGAATTCTCCACTTCTCTTTGCCCTCTTCGGAACTTGCAAGATATTATTTTTCCTTTCCCTCTTCTCCTGTTACTGCCTCCCCCTGTAATTGCCTTGTGACCTTTGGGCAGTTTTTCAGCGGTGATGCTTGCAAAACACACTTTTTTCTTCTTCCCACCCCTTCCATATTGTGTAGGGTGCTTTGCTCAACTTATTTCCTCCTTTAAGGTGGGCTGTCGTTAATGGCCATGGAATGCCGGCATCACCTTTTGGGCTCTAGGCTAATAATAGCCTTCCTTTAATATCTCCAGAGATTCCTTTCTCACTCACAGGGATCTGCCTCAAAGGTCTTCTCTGCATCTCAGGTCATGATTATGCAAGCAAGAAATCTGCAGACTCACAGCTGTAAACCAATCGTAGATTTTGAAATAGTTGACATTTGTGTTTCTATCACACTCCCCCCCCCCCATTACCTGTGTGCATCAATAAGAACTAGGGAGTTGGTTCCTTTTTTCTAACAAGATCAACACCCCGAGGCACTCAGCTTCTGAATTCTGCACATGACAAGTTCTGCGTTCTTGTGCTCTCCCGTCATATAACTCTCACTTTGTGTGCAGGATGCAACCCAAAAAAGGTACCCTGCACATGCTGTGCATAGATAATGATGGGGAAAACGGTGTTGTCTGGTTAAGAGCCATTTGGTCTGGTTGTTGGGTTTACAATCTCACCCCTTAATATGCTGCACTTCACAGTTCCCAGAAGCGATTCACAGTTTTGATTTTTTGTTTTTATTGGGCATTTAATGCATTTTATATTAAAAACCTTTGTTGAGGTGGTTCACAGGTCTTATACGCACAAAATAGCCATTAAAACAACCTTGAAGCTATCAAATACAATAATATAGCATCAAAGAGGAGCTATACATTAATAAAAAAAGTAGCGAGAACAGAAAAACTTTAAGTATGCAGGCAGATCCTAATCCAACTTTTGCAAGCTTTCTTCCCTCCAGATGTTTGTCCTGCCCCAGCCCAGCTTTCTCAGCCACCACATCAAACCCCCAAAATGAGATTCTTCCTCACCTCATGGCTTTTCTCTCACTATGCCTCAACAGAAGCCCTATATCAGGGCACTCCCATCTTCTCTGGATCCGCATTGCACCATTTTTCCTGCTTGCAAAGCGGCCTTTGCCAACCCTGGTGCTCTCCAAATGCTTTGGAGTACAATTCCCATCAGCCCCAACCAGAAGAGCCACATGATCCTGGGCTACAACTTCCTCCCTTCTGCATGCTGATGGGAGCTGGAGTCCAAAAACAATGGGAGAGCTGCAAGTTCTCTAGCCCCAACCCCAGTAAATGGAATAGTTTTGATCCATTGACAAAATGATGCTGAAGTCAGCACTTAGCTCTGTGGGGAGCATTCCATAGCAGGACTCTTTTCTCTGGTCACCACTTACAAATGGAGGGGTACCCAAAGGCCTTGTGCAGTTCTAGATAATTGGGCTGGGTCAATAACCTATTCCCATCTGCCTTTGAGAACAAAGATTTTTCCAGTAAAATGTGCACCTTCTTTGTTTGCAGTGGCCCACTGAGTAATCACTAAAGGAAGCATTAGCATCAAAATTTGTAATGGCAAAGATGCATAAAAACCCACCTCTTCTTCTACTAAGTTGGCTTGGGCAGGGATGGCCTGGCCACAGCAATTCATGCATTGGTAACTTCAATGTGCTATATGCGGGGCTAACCTTGGGCCTGGTCCAGAGGTTCCAGCTGGTGGAAAATGCTTTGGCCAGACGGTTGATGTTGCCAGCACATAACTCTGGTGCTCAAAAGCTTGCACTGGCTGCATGCATGCTGCTGGGCCAGCTTCATTGTT